GAAGGAGAAAATTAACTAGAGGATTAACTGAGTTCCCGTTATAGAAACAGAATATGTGGTGGTGGATGATTGAGTGTCACAGATTTATGATAAGCGCTCTTGCAGGAAATATGAAAATATATATATGTGGGTCATCACACATGTATACATACACTCACAACACACCAATTGCATACAAAAGATGACATGACTATCTCTTTCTCACACACACACACACACACACACACATATATATATGCATAACTGTTGAAGCCGAAACAAAAAACAAAAATATATATTGAGAAACGACAAGAAGACCCAACTCAACATCGAAAAAGAAAGAGAGAGGATGCGTGGATTAAGGTGGGGTGGGGGAGAGTAAAAACGAAGATATATACATGATGATAAAGGATATGTCTCATTTCTTCCATCTGTTTGAATAAACGGAGTCGCATGCAAAACTACATATTTATGCGCGTATATTTATATATAATATATCTTGGGTTGGATCATATCATGTATGTATCGTCTTCCAGCTGTGGTTTTTGACCACTCCTCCATTTGCATGTGACGCTCTGTCTCCGGATCACTATCCATGCACTTGCAACGTATAATCATCATCATCATCATTTCATTATTACCCACTTCGTATAGTTTCAATGCTTCTCTATCAATACCTAAAAATAATATCTACGTCTTTTTTCTTGGAAGCAAAACTTCATATATTTAATTTTCAACGACATATACACTCCAATTATGATAGAAAGGGTAAAGCTATGAACCAAAAAATTGATGAGTAAAAATATAATATAACTTATAAATATTCTGTGAAGATAAAAAGGGTGGTGACGTGGAAAAAATGAGGGACGGAAAACAAAAGAAGATAATTTTGGAGAATAGAGGAGGGGGGGGCCATCTTTTCATATTTTACTGAGATTCGCAGTCGCCAATCAGATTGAGTGAAAAAGTGCCTAACTCCATCCCTTGCAGCCACAAACCACACGTGTGATTTCAGGTACTTTAATTTGAGTTTATAATTATAATTTAATTTCCTAAATAGTATTTAAGGAACAAAATTCAAAACATTTAGAATATTGTTATCAACCGTTCAACAAATTTGATAATTTTTTTTTTCTTCAGGGAAATGAATTTGGTAAATTAAAAATAATTTTGCACGTTTTTAGTTTAGTAAGTTTGATGGCGATAAGAAGGTTTCGTACTCAAATTAAGTTATAAATTTTAATAAATTAATTTCAAAATATATTTTCCAAATTTTGTTTAGAAATAATTTTATATACTATTAATTAAATCAAACATAAATTTCAAAATAAAGTTTATAAAACATTCTTAACTTGTTCCAAAAATAAGTTAAATGAATACAAATGATGATCATGGATTGTAAACTAATAATAAAATAAAGAACAAATTACCATTTTAACCTCTCTATCACTATATATGTTATTATTTAATATTATATACAAGTGTTATGTTGTAAAGGCCTCGGTTACTCTTATAGGTATGCCATTAATATCATCAATTTTTTTTTGTTGATTAATTAAGTGGCAAAGTATTGGAATATCCCATTAATTCTAGAGGATTAAGTCAGATATCCTGTTCATATGGGTACGTAAAGATCTTGTGAAATCACAAGCAATCTAATTATCCAAACATTTAGTTTGGAGTCATCCTTAATTATCAATCATAATCCTTCTTTACCTACAACGACATATGCCAAGATACTCTTTTTGTTTTAACTTGGTTTTCGACTAAGAATGGTTGATAAAAACTCATTATAAAAATAGTACCTTGCTTTGACTAATTTGGATAAAAGAGAATTAGGATTGGATACTAATCTACATGTTTGTTTTGCTAGCATAGCCTTGTTAAAGCATTAAAAATCCTAGAAACACAAATCTCTCACATACTTATTTGAACATAATGTTAACAACTTGTTCAATGTATCATCCTCCCTTTTGTCTGACTACCCTACATGATTATGATATATGTTGGAATGTGTTGTGCTATTAATTTTATAAGCAGCTTGTGTCTCATACTAGATAGTTTCTTGGCTTGCCAACTTTGTAATCTCTTGGCTATTTGATCCATTAGAAGCACAAAAATGGTAGTAAGGAATTTACCAAGTAATGCTAGAACTTCAAGATATTTCAATGAGCCTCCTCAACTTTTCCATCCAATTGATATATTAATTTTAACTTTTTATTCATACTAAAATTTTTAAAGAAAATTATAGATGAGTTTTAGAGATTGATGAACTGGCTTGATGTAGCTTTATATTCATGGCGAAATTTTTTAATAAGATTAATTTCCATCACCTAAGCTCTTTTAAATAATAGGTTGCCATATGCAAATAATAAATGTAGAATTGTTAATACAAATCATGCAATCTCGAGGGCTCATATTTTGTATTTTTATTCTCTACTTGCCTAAATAGTGTCAAAAATATCTCTACATATAAAATAAATAAATAAATATAGAGATAAAGAATCTCTTTGATAAAAATTTCACTTGTGAAAAAAGAATTCGTGAAGGTTTCCTATTTATCAATATAAAATATGACACATACGATACACAAGATATGATCGAATTCACAAACAAAAGGCTAAATCTTAAATGCCTAAACCACCTTCTAAAAAAGTCCAAGCAATATGGTTGTTGGCGTTACTAAGATCTTATTTCAGT